TAACAACATCCCAAAGGAAAAACCCATTTCCCAGCCGTCTCTGAGGCATGCCGATGGCTCCTTGTCACGGCCGGATTCGGAAGCAGCTGTCCCCAGAGGACCTGTCTCTGCCGCCAGGATGAGGACATGTGCAGAGAGAGTTACAGAGGAAGCCGTGCTGTTCCCGGGGGCCAGGTGACCTAAGTCTGGTGACCTAAGACTGACCTAAGTCTCCCAGCTCTGCAGCCGGCAGCTGTGGACGCCACCAGGCCCTCTGCAGCCACAGAGGAGAGAGGACAGGGCCAGCAGCAGTGGCCTCAGCGTGTGAGAGCCTCACAGAGCTGTGCTGATCCAAAGCCAGGCCCTGGGTGCACCTGCCGTGTGTTTAAGCCTTTGCTTCTTATGCTTATCTTACAACCAAGCAGGGAGTCGTGAGGTTGTTGGCTGTTCAACAGATCAAAGCCTAGGTAGAGCAGGAAAAGGAATCCGTGTTGAGTCTCCTCGAGCTGCCGTCCAGACTGCTACAAACCGAGTACCTTACGACAACGGAAATTCATTCTCTCACGGTTCTGAGGCCACGGGTCCAGCACCAGGGGGCCGGCCTAGCTGAGCGCCCCCTGCAGGCTCTGGGGAGGCTCCTTGCTGCACCTTCCAGCTTCTGGTGGTGGCCAGCATCCCCTGGCTTGTAGCTGCAAACCCCGCCTCCACGCAGCCGCCTTCCCTCTGTGTGTGCGCCTGTTCCCCCATCTCCCTGGCCCGACCACGCCATCAGTCACGGGCCTTGGGGCCCACCCGGGTCCAGCAGGACCTCATTTAACTTGATGACAACTGCAAAGCTCTTGTTTCCGAGCAAGACCACAGGGGCAGGCACCGGGAATGAGAGCTTCAGTGTACATTTGGGGAGGACCCAATTCAAACCGAAACCGAGCCTTCCTTAGGGTTGCTAGACAGAGGAACGCAAATGGAAGTGCATCCCGCTGGAGCCGAGAGGCAGTGAGTGAGGCTGGAGAAGAAGGACATGGTGGTGGGAGCTGGTCACCTGGCGCTGTGAAGGGGTCCCTCAAACACACGACACCAGAGAAGCCGGGGACAGGGCTGGAGCGGGGACCTGGGGGAGGGGCAGAGAGCCTGCTCTGAGGCTGAGAGGAAGCTTGCAGAGGGACTGAGTCTTCGGCAGAACGCAAGGCTGGGGCTGGGGCTGACGACGGCGTTGTGCTGGCGTGAGAAAGGGCCTGATCTCTCAGAGAGCAGGCTGAAGTCGGGAGGAAGAGGGGGCGTGTCTACAGTGCGTTCAGTGCCGCAGAGCACGGGTGAGCAAATGCCACACACACCTGTGTGCAGGCCCCAGGATGGACACGTGCAGATCGCCGTAAGGTCTCTCAGCCGTCGGGAGCTTTTCCACTTCCAAGACTAGAAAGTGAAGGCAGCGGCGGGGGGAGGCCGGCACTGTGGCACAGTGGGTTAACCCACCACTGCAATGCAAGCGCCACTCCTGGCTGCTCCAGCTTCCTGCTAATGCACCTGAGAAAGCAGTAAAAAATGGCCCAAGTGCTGGGGCCCCTGCATCCACAAGGGAGACCCAGATAAAGTTCCAGGCTCCTGGCTTCAGCCTGGCCCAATCCCAGCCATTGCAGCCATTTAAGAGTGATCCAGGCCGGCGCTGCGGCTCACTAGGCTAATCCTCTGCCTGCGGCACTGGCACCCCAGGTTTTAGTCCTGGTTGGGGCGCCGGATTCTGTCCCGGTTGCCCCTCTTCCAGTCCAGCTCTCTGCTGTGGCCTGGGAAGGCAGTGGAGGATGGCCCAGGTCCTTGGGCCCTGCACCCCATGGGAGACCAGGAGAAGCACCTGGCTCCTGGCTTCGGATTGGCGCAGTGCGCCAGCCGTAGCATCCATTTTGGGGGTAAACCAATGAAAGGAAGACCTTTCTCTCTGTCTCTCTCTCTCACTGTCCACTCTGCCTGTCAAAAAAAAAAAAATTTAAGGTGAAAAGGGTGTAGGCATTTGGCACAGCAGTTAAGACACCGCTTGGGACTCCCACCTCCCGTATCAGAATGCCTGGTTCAAGTCCCGGCTCCTCTGCTTCTGATCCTGGGAGGCAGGGGGCGATGGTTCAAATACTAGTGCCCCTCGTGACCCACGTGGGAGACCTTGAGCCTGGCCTGGATCTGGCTGTTGTGGGCATCTGAGGAGTGAACCCGTGGGTGGGAGATCTCTATCTGTCCCTTCTTCTGTCCCTCTGTATCTCTGCCTTCCCAATAAAACGAAAATAGATAAAACCTAGAAAAAAGAGAAGTGAAGAGATCTGGAGTAAGTCTCCAGCAAGCCCTGCGGCATGCTTGTTCTCTTTATCCTTGTAGCCCCTCCCGGGGCCACGACCCCAAAGAACAGGACTTTCGGGACCTTGGAGCTCAACCCCTCATTTTGCAAATGGCTGACGACTTAGCAAAGTCACACAGCTGCTTAGCGGCCAAGAGGGCCCTACCTGGTGCTTCTACTGCTGCACACCGTCCTCCGCCTCATTTTTGGAGTGAAGGAGCTACTTCTCAGTTCCGGTACAGGGTGGAGCCACACAGAGCCTTGGTAATGCAGGCAGTGCCTGTGGGTCACTGGGTTCCTGTGTAAGACACCTCAATTTGAACCTGAAAGATCTCTTCTCTTCCACATCACGGTCAAGTCCACCCAAGTCCTTGAGACCTTACAGGAGTCCCTCTGGAGTTTGGCTGTGTGCACGTCAGCAGAGCTACAAACTTCTGTCCTCTGCTCTTCATCGATATCAGCTGCAAGTGGCCATGGCTCAGGGGACCCCAGTCCCGTGCTGAGAGCTGTGTGAATTTGACCTTGGGCTCTGCAGGTGTCGGAGGGGTTCCCTTAATGAGCCTGTGAACGAGCAGCCCCAGCCCTGAGAAGCTGCTGTGGCCCACTAGCTCAAGAGACAGGTGGCCTGTAGGCTCCAGGACTGTGGGACGTTCTAGTGTCCCTTGTCCCCCGGCACTCCGGCACTGGACACCCCTTACTCGTGTGGCCCGTCTTCTACAATAGCTTTCTTTTCTCTCACGCCTGAGGGTGGGAAGTCGGGGATGCGGCAGTGATGCCTGGCCACAAGCCTACTGTTCTCAGGCGTTAAAGTGGAGTTTCTCTGGGTTGAGGCCCAGCCCTTCTTCTAACCCTGAGGGCCCCCGTGGGTGTGGCTGGACTGGGAAGCCAGGAGGGGTGGCTCTGCATCCTCAGGGGCCCAGGGAGTCAAACCCCACCCCCGCCCAGACGCTGGGCGTAAAAAGGATGCCCCGCCCATGCCTACGCGGCGGCCCCTGGCTCCAGGCAGCAAGGGGAGTGGAAGTCCATTGGGGGCTGGCCAGAGTGAGCTGCATGCCAGGCTAGTTGCCCACGGGAGGCGGGGCGCTCCAGCTGGGCAGTGCGGCTGGAGTCTGGGAGGCTGGGATGACTCACCGATCCCCCCCACCCCCGCTCAGAGATGACCCTCAGCGCCCAGGGGACCGCGGAAGAGCCGTGGGTACTCACTGCAGAATTCAGGGTTAGGCGGGGCTGGGAAGCTGGCCGCCTCTGCCAGTGGCTGTGGCTCTCCAAGCCGCTGTGTCCCCAGCTCTGCAGGGCCTCGCACACAGGAGGCTACGGGGTGTACAGAGCTCTCCCACAGCCAGGAGTTTGCACCCCAAAATGCACTTGGTGCTAATATTCTCATTCCCGTGTTAGAGATGAGGAAACCATGCATGTGTTCATTCACTCGCTCCACGAATACACTTTCCAGAATCCCCCGGGGGTCTGTGTGACGGCACAGCGGGTTGAGCCACCACCCGCGACACCGGCATCCCTTAGCAGCCTCTGCTGGAGCCCTGGCTGCTCCACTTCCGATCCAGCCGCCTGCTGATGCACCAGGGAGGCAGCGGGTGAAGGCTCACACGGTGGAGCCCCTGCCACCCATGCGGGAGACCAGGATGGAGCTCCAGGCTCCTGGCTTCAGCCTGGCCCACTCCTGGCCATTGCAGCTATTTGGGGGGTGAACCAGTGGATGGAGGACCTCTCTCCCCACTCCCCCCTTCTCTGTAACTCTGCGTTTCAAATAAATAAGATAAAAATATTTTTTAAAAGAACTTATTGAGTTTCAGATTCCAGGCTGGGCTCAGATATGGCTCAAAATGGTGCAGTGACTTGTCTGACTGCAGCATAAGGATTCAAACCCAGTTCTTTAGGCTTGTTTCTCAGTCAGCCACAAAGGAGGCACGCATGGCGCGCCTGTTCCTCTGGCCTGCACCCCAAGGACCCAGAGGCAGCTAGCCTCTGTGAAAACGGAGGGTTTGGGGCCCTGCACGCCCCACTCCTGCTCTGCCTGCACAAAAGTGCCACAGGGCGGGCAGGGGAGCAGCAGTGAGGACGAAAGAAAAGAGGAAGACATGGGCTGCTACACACACACACACACACACACACACGTGCACACACACACGCACAAGCATACCGCCTCAGAGAAACTAAATGGATGCAGGTTTTTCCGTGAACCCTCCCAGAGCTGGGTAAGTTCCCAGAGCCATGGAGTCCCAAGATGTTGTTTGTTTTTTCTCCTTTGCTTTTTAAAAATAGTAACCAACTGTTGGGCGCTGGAAGGCGGTGGCAAGACTGGGGGTGGGGACTGGCTGGTGGCAGGGGACATGGCACCGTTTTTTGCTTCTCCTTCGTTTCCACCCAGGGCACAGCCCCGGCGGCCCGGCGGGCCCAGCAGTGGCAAGGGCCTTCCTCTCGGTGCTCACAGCGACCCCGCAGGGCAGGCGCTCGTGGTCCTACTTCACAGGCAAGGCGCCCCCCCACGGCACGGGCAAAGCAGCGGGCCAGGGCCTCCGAGCACCCGGCAGGTGTGGCGGGACAGGGCGGGCATGCCCTGTCCCAGACCGGGCCTCCGGGGGCCCGGCAGGTATAGCTCCCTCCTCCCAGGCTCCCCCGCAGGCCTCCGCCGTTCGTCGCGTGGCCCGCCCCTCCCGTCTCCAGTCATTTCACAAGGACACTCACCAACCTTGAAAGGCAAGGTGCCCCGAGGCGCGGGGACGGAACGCGCGGCGTGGGGCAGCGCGGGGGTGCAGCGCCATCTAGCGGTGCCGCGTCCCTTTGCGTCCCGGGCGGTGACATTTCAGACAATCAATAGCTCATTATTAACCATGATCACAACCTGATGTTTACTTTGGGAGAAATGCTGGGCAGCAAGGGAGACACACGCACTTTGCTGCGTGTTTCCCAGGCCGGCGGTTCTAAATGCCACAGTGACTATTAAACAGTGTCCTGGCCGCGGGCAGCGGGCGGGAGCCCAGATGGATCGAGTATCTTTTTCATCTGAGCTGCTCACCAAAAACAAAGCATCCACCGAAGCCGCTGACCTTTCGCTAACTGCTGGAAGGAAAATGCTTGATAAATAATAAATAGACCCCTCCTGGATGCTGCTTAGAACCGCCTTTTAATTAAAAGGACGGAGCAACCCGAAGGTCAGGAAACTGACATTTATTTAAGTCGCAGTCCACAAGAAGCATCCGCTGAGGATAAAACTCGACTTGAAACGCGTTTTCCGTTGTCAGCTAGCAGTCCACAGAAGTCCCCTCCCCGGAATCTGCGAGGAGGAGGGTGGCGGGAGACAAAACACTTAACTTCCTGGCTCTGCCGCCTGCCCCTAGCAACACTCCCTTCCCCACTGCCGCGATCGCAGACGCTGCTCCAGGCCTGGCCTCGTCCAATCAGAGCAGCGCCTGCCGCACCGAGCGAGCGCTACCCCAGGAGCGACACAAAAGCCATTTCCCGTCTTTGCCACAGGAGGGCAGGTGCCCTTCTCTGCCAGCCCAAGGTGACCTCAGCCAAGGTGCTCACTGAACCTGCTCGGGCACCCCTCATCTCACCGAGCACAGCCGAAGGCTGGGAGCACAGGACTAACGCAGCCAGAGCCACACCCGCACCTCGGGCTGCTCTCAGCGGAGCTTGGGAACACAGAGAGAGCAGGCAGACAAGGACGGCCTGGAAGCCGCGGGCCCCTCCCGCCCTCTCCTTCCCTGTGCCGCACTGGGTCCTACACCCTCATTCCCAGGTGCTCAGAACACTGCCAGCCCAGCCCCGCCCGGGTCAGGTGTGGTAACAGCCAAGAGCCGAGAAGAACGGATGAGGCCCAACAGCTGTGTCCCCAGGGGCAGAGGCAGACACCGGTGGGAGCCACAGAAAATCCTGACATCCCACTGGAGTAACTTGGTTTTTTTAAAAAGAAGTCTGCTGGGGCCGGCGCCATGGTGTAGTGAGTAAAGCCGCCACCTGTGGGACCAGCATCCCAAATGGGTACCGGTTCCTGCCCGGGCTGCTCCACTTCGGATCCAGCTCCCTGCTAATGGCCTGGGGGAGCAGCGGAGGACGGCTCAAGCGCTTGGGCCCCTGCACCCACGTGGGAGACCTGGATGAGGCTCCAGGCTTCCAGTGAGCCCAGCCCTGGCTGTTTCAACCATGTGGGGAGTGAACCAGCAGATGGCAGGTATCTCTCTCTCTCCAACTCAGCCCTTAAATAAATAGGCAAAATCTTTTATAAAAATCTGCTGAATGCTTCTAAGTGGCGAGCTGTCATTTATTCTGAGAGAGAGGCATCATTTTAACCAGATTGGGAATCCCTGAGACGCAGACGACTCAGGAATGCCACGTCCGTGGTCACGGAACGCCACTCAGAGCATTAGACAGAACTGCAAGAATACCTAGGCTGGGGCCAGTGCTGGGGTGGGTTGAGCGGCCACTTGTCATGCTGGCACCCCGTATCAGAGTGCTGGTTCGAGACCCAGCTTCTCCACTTCCAATGCAGCTCCCTGCTAATGCACCTAGGAAAGCAGATGGCCCAAGTGCTTGGGACCCCTGCCACCCACGTGGGAGACCCAGATGGAGTTCCTCCTGGCTCCTGGCTTCAGCGTGGCCCAGCCCTGGCTGTTGCAGCCTTTTGAGGAGTGAACCAGCAGGTGGAAGATCTGACAGCCTTTCAATTAAGTAGATTAATACATACATCAGGCTGGGTTTTTAAGCCGCCCATCAGGGACCAGATCTACCCAACAAAAGCAAAGACAGACTCTGTCATCGAGTGGCGAGTCCAGGACTCAGGAAACCCAGGGTTGGGATGAATGAAGACGTGGGTCGCCAGCCTTCTCATTCCCTCTGTCCTTGAACTGAGCGCCTTCGGCTGGCCGGCCTCCACCCTCCTGTGTCTTTCTCCACTCCCCCTGGAGACTCGTCCGTTGTCCCCCTGCAAAGCCCAGCCCCGTACCGGGCCTTTCTCCCTTCCTCCCAGACACCCATCCGGAACACAGCTTCACAGGCTGAGACTAGAAGCTGTCTTCTGAGAGCACCCGTTCCACTCCCCAACGTGTGGCCGGCTGCTGGTGACACTGCTCGTCTTCCGGCCTCCTCTTTGGTCCTCTCCCCTCCCTCCTGCCCATCCCCGCCCCCATTCTTGGAATCAAGTCGATCCTAGGCACATCCCCCTTCCCCGCTCCAACTTTCCTGCACTGAACTCCTCCGTGCTGTCAAGGCCTCCGCGGCCCCACCCCACCCTGTCTGTTCAGCCCATGTCCTGTTCAAGACAGTAACAACCCACCCGCCACACACATCACGAAGGAGCTCTGCATTCAGTATCTCGACTGTTCCCTACAGTGCTCCCTGGAAGCCAGAGGCACACAGTCCTGACTGTGAAGGCTGGGCAACACGGGAGCAGGCGCAAGCTCACACCAGGACCACTGGCGCGCCCAGAACCAGAACCCAGACGTGTACCTCGCCAGGCCCAAGAGGTCTGCTCTGACAGGTCTACTGCTTCCGTGGACACCAAGAATCTGTGCCCTCCTTTACGCATTCATTCTTCCCTTGAACCAAGGCCTCAGCCAATCAGGCCCAGGCGGGCCCACCCCAGGGAAATGCCTCGCAAGCTAGCGGTCTCTGGGCGTGGTAAGGGACTGATGCTTGGTTTCAACATGTTCCACGCAGTCGGCGTTTGAAGCCCGCAGTGACAAGGAGCGTGTTCCTGGCAGAAGACACAGCTCACACTTCAACCACGCCCGCCCACGGGGCTCCCAGGACTCCCAGCCCGCTCCAGGGCCCTCACCCTCTGGACCCTACCCCTGTGCCCGTGATAGTGGGGGAGTCTGGTTGCTTCCGCTCACCCTTGTCTTCTCAACTCAACTTGATCTTCAGAATGTGGTCACATTTCCATTCTCTGGAAGAACACTATGGGGCCTGGTGACAGCTTTGTTCCAACTGTGGGTCTAGTTCTGAATTCCCCAAGGAAGTGTCACACCTTTCACTACGCTTGGATCGCTGAGACTCAACATAAAGAGGCCTCCATGCTGGTGCCGGGACTCACTTGGCTAATCCTCCGCCTGCGGCGCTGGTACCCTGGGTTCTAGTCCCGGTTGGGGCGCCAGATTCTGTCCCGGTTGCTCCTCTTCCAGTCCAGCTCTCTGGACTGCTGTGGCCGGGAAGGCAGTGGAGGATGGCCCAAGTGCTTGGGCCCTGCACCCGCATGGGAGACCAGAAGGAAGCACCTGGATCCTGGCTTCAGATCTGCACAGCGCGCTGGCCATAGTGGCCATTTGGGAAGTGAACCAACAGAAGGAAGACCATTCTGTCTCTCTCACTGTCTAACTCTGTCAAATAAATAAATAAATAAATAAATAAATAAAGCAGCCTCCAAGTGCCGGCAGCTCCCAGGACTGCCTCTCCTCACAGTCCCAGTCACACTGAGCGGGATCAGGACGTTCATCTGTCCTAGCAGCCAAAGGTGCTGAAGACACCTTCTGTCCCACAACTGAGTGCCTGGCTTTGATCCCTGGCTCCAGCTTCCTGCCTAATGCACACCCTGGCTGGCTCCGAGTGCTTGGGCTCCTGTCATTCACGTGGGAGACCTGGGCTGAGTCCGTGGCTGCCAGCAGAGCTCAGCTCCACCCAGCCCCCGCTGCTGCGGGCATTTGGAGAATGAACCAGCACACTGGAGGACGCTCTCTTCCAATTTAAAGGAAAAACATGTGTGGGACAACAGGCACTCACACGCTGCCAGTAAGTATATAACTCAGCACGATTTCTGTGGAGATGACAGAAACCACAGGTGAGCTGTCCCCTGAGCCAGCACCCACAGGTGCACCAGGCCATCGCAGCACAGTACACAGAAACAAGGTATGTTTTCACCAGCTGGGCAGGGATCAAACCGTGATGCATCCGTTGGAAGATCTCTATGACAAATGAGTATTAGCCGGAAAAACAAGGTACAGGCTCATACGTACAGCAGCTCTGTAGACACAATCGGAATATTTCTAGAAAGCCACACAAAGAAATGGTGGTAGTGTGCCCTCAGGGAAGGGAATGTGGGTAGCAAGGGACAGAAATGGGAGACTATTTACTTTTAAATTCTGAACCATGTATAATTTTTGAAGAATTATGCAATAAAAAACTTTTTTAAAAAGAGGCTTCATTATTGTGGCAAAGAAACTGCCTTTAAAAACCTGGCAACGTAAGGTCTGGAGCTCAGGGATGCCCCTTTCTCCACTATTCCACTGAAAACGGACCCAGGTCCTTTCCCAAGGCCTGGTGTGACACTCAGTACACACGGTTTGCCTACCACATGTGTTCCCATGGAGTAAATTTTCTTCCTCATCTAAAAGTAACGAAATGCCTAAGCAGTGATAAGGCCATGGGAAACAGCACGGCTCAGAACTGCTTCTGCCGCACCTGCTCCCTGCGTCGTGTGTGAGGATGTGTAGGCTGGCTGAGGACCCTGCCTACCGTGTACCAGGAGGCGGAAGAAACCCTGCACAAAGGAGAACCAGGTGGAAAACCCACACATTCCTAGGAACCGAAAACTACTGGCCTCATCACAAATACGAAGGCTACAATCTCAGAGGTCTATTTCCTTTACTTAGTAAAACACAAGAGAAACGAGGAAGGCAAGACAGTGGGTAAGGGAGGCAGGCTACCGGTGGAGAGTGTCATCTGAATCAGGTGACCCTGCACCGGGCAACCCAGTTACCTACTGAGATGTCATCAGAAGTCAGTCTTCAGCGGGTGTGATCACTCATTCATTCACCCAATAAATAAGTACTGAGCAACCTATACCTGTCCTAATTGCCTGCCACACACTCGATCTGTGACATTCTAGGTACAGTTTTGGTGTTTGTCCATCATCAGTGTTAGGTCCTCACTCTTACTGAAAGCATAATCAGCTTGGCCTCAAACTGAAAGTTGGGCCAGTGTGGTGCCGGCATCCCATATGGACACCGGTTAAAAGTCCTGGCTGTTCCACATCCAATCCAGCTCTCTGCTATGGCCTGGGAAAGCAGTAGAGGATAGCCCAAATCCTTGGGCCCCTGCTCCCGCATGGGAGACCCAAAAGAAGCTCCTGGCTCCTGGATCCTAATTGGCACGGCTCCAGCCATTGTGGCCAATTGGGGAGTGAACCAGCGGATGGAAGACCCCCCCGCCCTGGCTCTCTCTAACTCTTTCAAGCAAATAAATAGATCTTAAAAAAAAAAAAAATAGTCAGTAGTTCTCTTGCAAAATGTACAAAGATGATCTACAGACAGAGGTAGCTGATGAAGAGACCACACCATACGTGGAGGTCAAAGTCAGATGGATGCAGATACACACCAGGGAATCAAATGCAGCCAGCCCACTCGCAAACACAAACATTGGAGCAAACCGACTCCGAGCAACTCCCACTCCTACAAACTTTCTGGAGGTCTCGCCGTGTTATTTACAATTTCAAAGTCAATTTACTTTGTATGCAACAGGGGGAGTCTTTATTTGTAATGTCCTAAAACTGAAGTTCTTTCAAACCATGATGCTGAGCTTAGGACGGCCCAGAGACAGGAACTAAGAAAAGGCAAACACGATGCCTTGGAGATCAAGAAACATTTACACAGTTCTGCTGTTCCAAACAGCTCGGGCTTCAGCTGGGGAGCAGAGCGTGGCTGGCGGCACCGCGGCCGCGGCCCTGGCCCTCAGGCAGGCGGCAGGCCTTTCCACTCGTCTGCAGATGCCTCCAAGCGCGGGGCCTGTAGATCCTCTCTCTGAGGCTGGTTTTCTTCCACCCCAGCCTGGGGTCTGGCACTCTCACGTTCAGACTTCCTGGAAACAGGACCACCTTCCTGTTGCTTAGAAGAGCGAACAGAGGTGAGTCACACACACATTATCACTTCCCCTGTTAGCTGCCTGCAGCCACACGAGGCGCATTCTGTCACTGAGCGAGCAGCTGAGCACTGGCCTCTCGGGCCAAATCCTACTATGACAAAGGGAAACATGACAAAAATGTCCATAGAACCACAGCTGCAAAACTCCTAATAATGAACTGCTTGTTCCAAGAAGCAGTCATTACCACAACATTCCAGTACATTGAATTTAACAGTATCAGAGCTAGAGTTTAAGAACACAAGCCAAGGATCGGGAAATAAATCAAACTTCTCTTCAACTTGTGACAGAAAGACAACAAAAACATTTTAACAATAAAATACTCAGAGCTCTTGGGATGGGTGTTGTGGTATAAAGCCACGGCCCATGATGCCATATGGGTGCCAGTTCATGTCCTGGCTGCTCTACTTTCGATCCAGCTCCCTGCAAATGGCCTGGGAAAGCAGCAGAAGATGGCCCAAGTACTTGAGCCCCTGCACCCCACATGGGAGATCCAGAAGAAGCTCCTGACACCTGGCTTCCACCTGGCCCAGCCTTGGCTACTGAGGCCACCTGGGGAGTGAACCAGCAGATGGAAGATCTCTCTCCTTCTCTCTGTGTAACTCTGACTTTCAAATAAATAAATAAATCTTAAAAAAAAAAAAAAAAAAAAAGATTTATTCAGCCGGCACCACGGCTCACTTGGCTAATCCTCCGACTGCGGCACCAGCACCACGGGTTCTAGTCTGGTCGGGGTGCTGGATTCTGTCCCGGTCACTCCTTTTCCAGTCCAGCTCTCTGCTGTGGCCCAAGAAGGCAGTGGAGGATGGCCCAAGTGCTTGGGCCCTGCACCCACATG